TATTTTTATATCTTTTGATGTGAGATTAGAGAGAATAACCTCTGAGGTTCCTCCTCATCTGCACGACAAAAACAGTTTCTCTGTATTTAGATCTCCGTAGTCTGAGTCTGGCCTCAGAGAAACAACAGAGAACAACATCATTGTGCAGATCCATCTCATTTTGTACGATCTAGTCTCCTTGTATCGAGAGCAGGGATCAATTTAGACCCTTAGAGATGAGATGTTTGATCTTTTTTCACTATGGCAACAGCAGCGTCATCCCTGTTTGTGTTTCATCCCTGATGTTGTTGTTCCTTCAGTGTCCTCAAGATGAGTAAGGACACAGAGAAGCAGATCAGCCTGCTCTGATATAAAGCTGACAGCCGAGGGGCCGGACTGACCCTGACTGCACAGCGAGCCGACGTGCATCTCCAATCATGAGAGAACAGTCGGGCTGCACTTCAATCAGATGAGAGAACAGTCGGGCTGCACTTCAGAGTAAGGACGCTCGGTTTAATTCAGAGATACTCAAACTAAACAAACATCTTCATCAGATTAGGAGAGCGTTTCTGGCAGACTGCATCTACAGAACACTAATGAGGCGCGACACTAAATAAAGAAATAAAAAGCCAGCAGGTCAGGTGACACATTTTCCTTGCGCCTGGGTGGAAGTATTGCCTTTTTATATCGGCCTCAGTAAGCCCACAGTGTGGAGCGGGAAAGTGGAGCAAGAAAAACACACTAATCTATTTCCAATCAGCTTTCTAATTAGTGCGGAAAATGATGTATTGTGACCTGTAATCAGCCTCAACAGTTTCATTTGAGTCATTATCATGGATATTGTAATTTCCTCTAAGTGGAAGTGGGCAGACAGAGGAGGGGAGGGAGGGTCAGCAGCTGTATAGACATTAAGATATGACCGGGCCCGAGTCATTACAGTCACATTCCTCTATCTGCCACGCCGCTGCCCCCGTCAGACTTTAATCTCAGGCCGCGCTGACTGGCAGTCGGCATGAAGGAGCCTCTAATAACCTCGTGTGGACTTTTACCTTTTTATTTTCCAGCTGGCACGTCCCACCTGTCAAAGAAAAACCCCTCTGATCCCAGTTTATCTTCAATTCCCTCTCTGAATGGAACCATAATGTCAGATAAGACAGGTTGATTTTTTTTTCTATTCCTCGAAAGGTAAAGTCACCAGATGCTGAAATCTGTCAAACTGAAGGCAGTTTGGATTTGTAGAAAACTAGGTCCTGGAGATGGATGAACAGAGACACAAACACAAGGACATTTCAGCTCAGTTTGGGATGATGTATGTTCATTTAGAGAGCAGTGAAAGGATATGGGTGAGAGCCTGATCCCGGTTCAGTATGGCCGTCTGTAATTCGTCTTCCAAGGTCAGGAGTCTGTCACTGATCAGCTCACAGCGCTCCGTCAGGTCTGCAGCCTCAGACTCTCCACAGACGTCCTGGAAGGGAAGAAGGAAACAAAAACTAAAGTGATGTGTGAAGGACGGGAGGGTCAAAAACTGAAGCTGCAATGGCGCCAATAAATGGTGCTGATGCACAGAAAGAATAAACAGTTCCTCTAGTGTCCACTAGAGGCTTTCTCCTGCAGAAATATACAAGCTCAAGTAACATTCAGAGTCTATAGCATTTTAATGACAACCTACAATGAGCAGCAACTCCTGCAGCACACTTCTGTCATTTTCCCAGATATTCAGTGAAACAAATAAAGGAGGACTTTTCAAACCAGACGCTTCATGTTCTCATATTTCAGATGTTCAGGTCTGCTCGAGTAGCTATGATTAATGAATGAGCCTAACGAGAGTTAGTAAGTTAAGAAACTTTAACTCTTCTTTTTCTCGAGTGTTTTTATATTTTAACGACCTATAGAATGAGTCAGAGCTCAACATGCAGCTCTTCCCTCCCAACATTTAATCTTTCTCACAATCAATCAAGGACGCCGTTTCCAACCACGATAACGTCTCGAGGAAAAATGAAAACATTAAAGTTCTGTAGAAGTCACGATGTCAACATGTGCATAAATCTGTGTGTGTGTGTGTGTGTGAGTGTATGTGTGAGTTTGTGTGTGTGTGCGTGTGTGTGTGTGTATGAGTTTGTGTGTGTGTGTCTGTGTGTGTGTGTGTGTGTCTCTGTGTGTGTGTGTGTGTGTGTGTGTGTGTGTGTGTGTGTGTGTGTGTGTGTCTCTGTGTGTCTCTGTGTGTGTGCGTGTGTGTGTGTGTGTGTCTGTGTGTGTGTGTGTGTGTGTGTGTGTGTGTGTGTGTGTGTGTGTGTGTGTGTGTGTGTGTGTGTGTGTGTGTGTGTGTGTGTGTGTGTGTGTGTGTGTGTGTGTGTGTGGATGGAGGAGCAGGGTGCAGAGCGTTCAGAGGCCATAATTAGAACAGGCCCCTTTGCAGACATCGTGTCCTACTTTCTTCACACTTATCAACGAGCAACGAGAACACACACACGCCAGAGTACACAGACGCACTCCCAGCACACACACACACACACACACACACCCAATGTTCCTATCAAAACAACACATCTGAAGTTGAATCTGACTCATAGCTGCAGGTAGAAAATATCAAGTCCCTGCAGCTCGGAGGTGTCAGAGCAATCACTGGAAAGTACTGTCGTCGCGCTCTGTCCTTAACAACACTCCTCCGGATGATGTAACAGCCAGAAAGAAATGTACAACAACAAAAAGGCCTGAGGCACGACCAAATGTTCGAGTTCTCCCTAATGCAATTAATGACTTAAGTAAGACTCGCAGGCAGAAGAGCCCGAAAGATAAAAGATTTAAAGACAACACCGTGTTTCTGCGCTCCCTGTCGTCCTTAACGACGGAGGAGAAGATCCTCGGAGCTGTTTGTTGGTTTGTGGAGTCGAGGAGCGTCTTCAGTAGATGAGAGCTGCGTGTTTGTGGAGCTGATTGGTTCTTTGTTTTACAGCCTCCGGTCAGCATTTGTAAAGTCAGCAGACCCGCAGGACTGAAAACAAACGCTCTCTGTGCCGATCTACACGCTTTAAAACAATCACACAGTTTGTTTTTTAATATCAAACCAAAACGACTCAAACTAAACTCTGTCTGATTCCTCTGCCTTTGAAATATCCACAACATGAAGCCTATACACCGGTACACCTTTATATGCAGGGCAGTGCTTGGTCTGCTCCCACACTACCTCTGTGTTTTACTCATGCTGAAAGTACCAGACATGATTCTTTATGCTCTCTGACCCAAAACAGACAGAAATTATGAAAAGGTGTTTTGTGTTTTCTGCACCGTCGGCCTGGATCAGTTGCAGAGTGGCTTAAAGCTCAAGGAGAGGTTTTTAAATCTACAATGAAAGACCTGGAAGCAGATCCTACAGGACGGCAATGTTTTTAGCTCGACTGCTTTAACTACTGACTCCAGGTTTGACTCATCGATGTTTTTTCTCTTTAATGCTAAATTTGAATGTTTTGTAAATCGTTCTTTGTCTCTCATTGTGCCTCCGTCTGTAACTTTGGGTTTTTGTTGCTGACTGTCTCGGCCAGGACTCCCCTGGAAAAGAGGTTCTTGATCTCATCGGGACCAACCTGGTTAAATAAAGGTTCAATAATTAAAAAAATGTCAGTCTGCATGAAGAATATCACATGTACAGGCGAGTTTCTTCCTGATTCATGTTAGAGAATATTTTTTAATCGAGAGTAAAGCATGAACATGTATTTGAAGTATTTTATACCAAACAAAAGTCTGTTTGGTTCTCCTTGAATTCTACTCTCGCAACAAAACTCCTCCGTTTGCATCCTACTAACAGCGTTCCTGAGTGGGCGGGGCCGCGGCCATCCAGAGAAAAAGTGTAACGCCCTCTGTCTTTTCTCCGAGGCCTCTGTCTTTTTTTGTTTTGCTCCGAGCGCTCAAGTTGAAAATCTTTCAACTTTTCAGAAAGGCACTGTTGATGTCACCGGCGCTCTTTTCAAATTGTTTGATATTCGCTGTAGTTTAGTGTCTTGTACCCACATCCTCCTCGCTCCGTGTCTGATCAATCTCAAATTTAAAATATGCAGTAAACAGTCATACAGTGGCTGTTGTCAACAGACTGTTGTCATGGAGACAGGACGGGCAGGCAGCGCTTTTCTTCTCAGAGCATAAACGCTTCATGCAGACACTCCAGAGCACTCAGCCAGCGCTTTTCATGCTAGGTGGACACGGGGCTAACAGTTGGACAGGGCGGTGTTCACATGAATGAAACATGTTTGATCATCTGAGCGAAACATAAAAAATAAAGAGACAACGTTTCCATCATCTGGTCTTTAAACTCATCCGGTTTTAGTTTCAGATTAATGATCTCGTCAACATTTAATTTGAATAATGTCTCTGTTCCTGTTCTCCACTGAGGGACCTGGAAGCAGATCCTACAGGACGTCAATGTTTTTAGCTCGACTGCTTTAACTACTGACTCCAGGTTTGACTCATCGATGTTTTTTCTCTTTTAATGCTAAATTTGAATGTTTTGTAAATCGTTCTTTGTCTCTCATTGTGCCTCCGTCTGTAACTTTGGGTTTTTGTTGCTGACTGTCTCGGCCAGGACTCCCCTGGAAAAGAGGTTCTTGATCTCATCGGGACCAACCTGGTTAAATAAAGGTTCAATAAATAAAAAAATGTCAGTCTGCATGAAGAATATCACATGTACAGGCGAGTTTCTTCCTGATTCATGTTAGAGAATATTTTTTAATCGAGAGTAAAGCATGAACATGTATTTGAAGTATTTTATACCAAACAAAAGTCTGTTTGGTTCTCCTTGAATTCTACTCTCGCAACAAAACTCCTCCGTTTGCATCCTACTAACAGCGTTCCTGAGTGGGCGGGGCCGCGGCCATCCAGAGAAAAAGTGTAACGCCCTCTGTCTTTTCTCCGAGGCCTCTGTCTTTTTTTGTTTTGCTCCGAGCGCTCAAGTTGAAAATCTTTCAACTTTTCAGAAAGGCACTGTTGATGTCACCGGTGCTCTTTTCAAATTGTTTGATATTCGCTGTAGTTTAGTGTCTTGTACCCACATCCTCCTCGCTCCGTGTCTGATCAATCTCAAATTTAAAATATGCAGTAAACAGTCATACAGTGGCTGTTGTCAACAGACTGTTGTCATGGAGACAGGACGGGCAGGCAGCGCTTTTCTTCTCAGAGCATAAACACTTCATGCAGACACTCCAGAGCACTCAGCCAGCGCTTTTCATGCTAGGTGGACACGGGGCTAACAGTTGGACAGGGCGGTGTTCACATGAATGAAACATGTTTGATCATCTGAGCGAAACATAAAAAATAAAGAGACAACGTTTCCATCATCTGGTCTTTAAACTCATCCGGTTTTAGTTTCAGATTAATGATCTCGTCAACATTTAATTTGAATAATGTCTCTGTTCCTGTTCTCCACTGAGGGTCGGTGTGAAGAGGAGAACGTCAGGACACAAAGAGGATAAAAGAACAATTACTCCAGATTAAAAGGAAAAAGGAGCAGCGGCACACACACACACACACACACACACACACACACACACACACACACAATCAATCTCCATCGCGGCGGCAGGGCAGCAGCTTGGCAGCAGCTAAGTGGAAATCATTTACTTAAAGTCATTAAGGAGAGGAGAAAAGGGTCAGACGATGGAGGAGAGTCAGAGTCGGAGTCGGAGCAGTATCACAACGCCATCAACACAAAGACACTGACGACATTTCACAAACGTTCTGTACAAGGGCTCGAGACCAAGGACGTCCCATCATCCCGGGGTCGATGCAAAATGTGCTTAATATGAACAAAAAACTTTCCATGAACGACATCCTGACATCAGTCTGTAAACCTTTCTGTGTTCTAACCTCTCTCCATTTTTCAAAAGCATCTCCAATATTGATCCTAGTTTGAGCACGTTTCTGCTCGTGGAGCTTATTAGAAACATGCAGAGGCTTTTTAGGTCGGGTACAATCACTTCTATCTGAACCACTTCTCTTGCCCGCTTCCATCGCTGCAACACCTGTTGGTTTGACCTGATAACTGCTCTCATATCTGGCAAACCGAGGGGCATCCAAAACGGCCGTGTGGGGGTGCCTTAAAAGCACCTACCTTCTCTGGTCCAAACAAATCCAGAACATTCAGGAGCAGAATCTAAAGTTAGAAGGAGGACATACTGGCTGCTGCATTGTTGTCAGAGAAGCCAGCACTTCAACATAGCATGTTTTCTTAATGTCTGATCATATAGTAAGATCACTTTATCATTTCACTCTCTACACATCTCACTGATTGGTCCTTTAGAGGGGAGAGGTTCTGAAAGGTGTTTCCTGTTTAGTTAACGCTCTGTTTAAAGAAAGTCTGGTGAAAAGGTTTCAGTCAGTAAACAGATCTCCTCATGTAGATCAGTATTGATTGGACGTTCAGAGAGGCGACAGAGGTCATGTTTAAGTTAAGGTCAGATAATGGATTGCGGTGAGCCATGGCGTCGATGAAACCGACACTTTAATTACACTGATAACATCCGATAACAGAGAGACGGGGTGCGCCTTACCTCGGGCTGACTCTCCTCCATGCAGAACAAAAACTCCTCCAGCTTCTGCAACAAAACAAAAACAAAACGTTAACAGTTGTTGAAGCCACACAGTCACAAACCGGCTCATGAATTATTGAAAGTACAATTATGTGGACCGTGTTGTGTTTGTGTGCAGCAGCGTCATCGTAATGAGCAGAGGTTGTAATTATTCATCAACAAACTGACGAGGAGAGGAGAGATGAAGCGGCTCATCTGTGCTGCAGGTTTCTTTGTTAGCATTCAAAGTGTTTAATCGTACATTTATTTGACTCACGGAGGAGGAGGTAATTACTGCACCTATGGGAGGAGAACAGATTGTGTGTAGCTTCAGGGTTTAAGACATAACACAGCAGAGTAACAACAAAAATAATCTGCAGACTTTTCATTATTATTTCTTCATCAGAGCCACCTCCATCCCTCCGCTCTGCAGTAAACACAGTGTACCGTCTACAACCACTTATTGTGTTTAAGCTGCAGTTTAAACCAGAGTGTGTGTGTGTGTGTGTGTGTGTGTGTGTGTGTGTGGCCGACTTGCTCAGAGGTCGTTAAGGATCATGCTCTCCTTTGTACAGTAACAGGACGTAGTTAGGACGACTAGACGATCGCCGAACTGCAAAATCAGCAGGCTGTTCGGGGTGATCGAGTCAAGTTAAAACCAGGCCTGATGCAGATCTGTGATGTGTATAGGCCAGTTTAAAAAGACCACCAACAATGACCCGGACATTAATGAACTTAATGAAATAACTAATAGAGCTGTCACATCTGTAGAAAACTCCTGAAGAACTCCTGATATTTCCCTGAGGAGCTGCATGTGTGAACATAAACAGATGAATGCTTCACTCAGGCTTCACCCAGAGTTCCTCCTGCAGCCTCCTCGTATTTTAACACAAGGTTTACTCCTGAACGTTGTGCGCTGTCGCTTTGCTGGAATAGAAGCAAAATGGTGGAAGATATTTTTCTTATTTTTCCTCTCATAAAAACACAAAGAGCAGCAGGGCAACAACAGTTCCCTCTTGGTGCAGCTCTCCATCTTTCATCTTTCACTGGAGATGTAACTGTTGTGAAAGAAATCATGTTAGCAGGGCGCGCTGGTGGCACAGTGGCAGGGCGCGCGTCCCATGTGTTGAGACTCTCGTCTCGAGCGGTAGGCCCGGGTTCACCTCCACCCGTGGCCCCTCTCCACATGTCATTCCCCGTTCTCTCTCCCTGGTTTCCAACTCTATCCACTGTCCTCCCTCTGCACTAAAGGCACGAAAAAGCCCCAAAAAAGAAATCATGTTAGCTGGTTAGTAATTATCTATCTAATGTGATGCAAGTTGCAAAGAACCATACCAGAACTTGATACAATTTTATTAAAAATCTAATTCCGATAACACCACAACAAAAACAGAAGTCCTAGGCACCAAGTATCGGATCGTTTCTTGTTTTAAATATTCAAAAATCACAAGTAAACTCGTGCACACCATCTCCATTACACAAATACGTTCGCAGAGTTTGGGTACAGAAACATTGTTTTTTTTACCGGGTGAGCAAAATTACAAAATCCTTTGCATCCCAATATTGTGAAATTTCTGGAAACATCGATGGATTTTTCCTGACTTTTTGTTGTTATTTTGTTCCATGAACGTCTCTTAAGAAATAGATGTTGTCTTTTGAAACGTTTGCACTTTACGATGCTGTTGTTCATTTAAACGCAGGGTTGGTCTTTTTTCGAAAAAACTAGCATGATTTTGGAAGTAGCATTCCCTCAGTGCTCCGTCTGCACCCACCCCCTCCCCTCTGTGCTCCCTCTAAAGCCACGCCCCCTCACTTACATGCACAAGCGCAATTGCTCCAGAATTGGACCTCAGCTCATCTCTTACATTGTGTAGAAACTACGTCTCAGCAGTAAGTAAACTCACAGTATAAACTCCGTCATCAGTGACGCACTTTGAGTGTGGACTAGAGCTCGCATGGGGTAGAGAGCGAGCAGGGAGACAGGGAGGCGCCTGATTGGTTCATCAGATTGGTATCTCGTATCAGACATTGGTCGAAGTTTTTACAGGATTACAACTGATACAGATGACTGATTTTCTTTGTTCCTTTTTCAGAGAACATGAGTTATTAAAACTGAGATAGGTTTACCTCGATATATTTATAAACTGAGAGGATACCACAGGATCTGCACTTAATCTTAAATTATAGAATATATTTAAGCAGCCATTTGATTAACTACACAGTGAATTCTGCATACATTTTCCTACACTGAGCTGCAGGGTTTCCCAGAGATAAAAAGAGTGCAAAGGACGGAGACAATAGAAAGAAAGAAATGGTCGGCAGTCTCACCTTTGAGTTCTTGCAGAAATGTTAGGAGGGGCCAGGCTTCAGGAGGAGAAAGAAAAGCAGAGAGAAACAAAGGGAGAAGCAGAAAAAAGAGATGCATGCAGGTTTTAAAAATCAGTCGGCTTGAGAAAGGAAAGAAGAGATCAGTGCATTGTGAATGTTAAATGTTGCACGGGGAGAATTTAAAGAGGGAGCAACAGGAGAGAAGTAAAACAGGAATGAAAATGATCTGTTACAGTGCATGCTGGGAATTCTTATCATGCACCAACTGCAGCACAAAAACATTTTAAGTTTCCTCTATTGCTTAAAATAAGAAAACATTTCATATAAAAATGGAGGAGGCAGATTAACTGAACACAGTCTCACAAACTGTCTGGAAATGTTGGTATTTTTTCTCCTGATGCTTTCTGTGTTGGCTTTGTTCCAATCTCAGACGAGTCTGTGAGACGACGTGGGCGGAGGAAAGTGTGAGGAGAGAATGAGTCGGACTCTACCCTGAGGCAGCGGCCCTCGACTCACTGTGGGATAGACCAGCATGGAGCACACACACACACACACACACACACACACACACACACACACACACACGCTCTCACACACACACACACACACACACACGCTCTCACACACACACACACATACACACACGCACACACATACACACACACGCTCTCACACACACGCACACACATACACAAACACGGAGCACACAGACAGACACGGAGCGCGCACACGGAGCGCACACACACACACACACACACACACACACACACACACACACACACACACACACAAACACAGAGAGCTCTCACACACACAGAGCGTGCACACACTCCTTCTAAACATGTAATCGTGCAGAAACAGACTCTCACATCTGCGCTCTTCAGAATGAATCTCTACACGGAAGCCGGTATACTTCCACGCCGGTTCCTCCCTCAAGCCCACACTTTCCTCGTTTAGTAAAAAAAAACCCATCCGAGCAGAAACACTGATCTTCTGCTCGTTCCACTGTTATCTCCAGTGGTGGTTCTAGACCACCTTTACTGAGGGGGCCAAACTGGGGCCAGTTGTTTTGTCAGAGGGGGACAATAAACCCAGGTGAAAAATAGACAAAGATGATCGCTTTAAAAAATATATATGTATATAATGCCAAATAATAGCACACATCATTAAATACCATGATTTATATTTGTTTCAGTAACAGTATTTAATACTAGATTGTGAGTCCGGTTGTTGAGTCAAATACTGTGTTAATGTGTTATGAGGGGGGCTCTTCCTTTTGGGGGGTGGCCACAAGGGGGACTAAGCTCAGTGTTACAGGGGCACTGGCCCCGGTTGGCCCCTGCCGAGAACCGCCCACTGTTGTCGAGGCTCTTTCATTCTCTGACAGCTGAGTGTAAACACTGAACACGTTGTCTCCAGTCGAGTGGTAGGACTGACCGGGGCGGGGACACTTCATCGGAGGTCACATTTAAAAAAAGAACGAGCATCAGAATGTGAGAGCAGGCGGCTCTTATCCAACCTTTCAGTGAGGATGTGAAGAAGAAATGAAACATGGAGGGTCTCCGAGGGAATCTCCTACAGTGCAGATACCCTAACTCACAGCGCAGTATGAATGCATAGGCGCATGAATAAAACATTGTGTGTTGTTAACACTCAGCGTTGTGTTACCTTCGTGAACTCGGAGTTCTGTAAGTTTGCCTCGGGACACCAACGCCCACCCAACGCCGTCAGCATGGCGCAGTCTTCTTCTTCTTCTTCTTCTTTGGTGCTCTGCGGGGTCAGAGGACAAGCCGCTGCAGAGGGGCGGTCCTCCATGTCCGCTCCGCTGCAGCTCGGGGTCCTCAGCTGGAGACCCCGCAGGAACAGGTGACACGCCTCCAGGTCGGCCTCCCAGATCCGCTCCAGACCAGGACAGCCACAGCTACACAGAGGAAAAGACCAGGATGTTACCATACTAAACTGTACCAATCCATATCATATCATACCAAATCATAATACATCACAATACATCACACCACATCATACCACACAAATATTATACAGTTTCAATCCCACTAAAAGACACATTACCCATGATGCAATTCCCCCAATAAAAGCCATGGGGCAGTAGAAGCAAAACTACATGATGCAATGCACTTCCAAATCAAAACAAAAAAGCATTTTTACAAACACCAGGGAGTTGGACACGAGTTGTGCAATATCCTAACAGTGTGTCCTAACAGTGTGTCCTAACAGTGTGTCCTAACAGTGTGTCCTAACAGTGTGTCCTAATAGTGTGTCCTTACAGTGTGTCCTAACAGTGTGTCCTAATAGTGTGTCCTAACAGTGTGTCCTAATAGTGTGTCCTAATAGTGTGTCCTTACAGTGTGTCCTAACAGTGTGTCCTAATAGTGTGTCCTAATAGTGTGTCCTTACAGTGTGTCCTAACAGTGTGTCCTAATAGTGTGTCCTAATAGTGTGTCCTAATAGTGTGTCCTTACAGTGTGTCCTAACAGTGTGTCCTTACAGTGTGTCCTGACAGCGTGTCCTGACAGCGTGTCCTGACAGCGTGTCCTGACAGCGTGTCCTGACAGCGTGTCCTAACAGCGTGTCCTTACAGTGTGTCCTAACAGCGCGTCCTAACAGCGTGTCCTAACAGCGTGTCCTAACAGCGCGTCCTAACAGCGCGTCCTAACAGCGCGTCCTAACAACGCGTCCTAACAGCGTGTCCTAACAGCGCGTCCTAACAGCGCGTCCTAACAGCGCGTCCTAACAGCGCGTCCTAACAGCGCGTCCTAACAGCGCGTCCTTACAGCGTGTCCTAACAGTGTGTCCTAACAGCGTGTCCTAACAGCGCGTCCTAACAGTGTGTCCTAACAGTGTGTCCTAACAGTGTGTCCTAACAGTGTGTCCTAACAGTGTGTCCTAATAGTGTGTCCTTACAGTGTACGGCTTGATTCCATTGTTTCCTGGTTGAGTGTGTTCTAACGTCCTGCGAGCATCGCAGCATAGGGCAGCATATGTAAAGACAGCTCAGGAAGCCTTGACCTGAAGTCCTTTTTTGTTAACGGCTGCCTCGCAAGGGCGCTTTGAAAAGCGGAGTGGAGTAGATGTTTACTGAACGACCTGCTCCACCCTTCAGAGTCACAGACACACTGAGTCATGCAGCCGAGTGGACAGTACAGGACGTCTTTAATACGATATGTACAATAAAGCTCTGACAGAGAAGGAGAAATAAATCGAGATGAGTTATTGTAACGAAGCGTGATGAAAGTGAACGCCCTCCAGTTATTAAAAGAGAGAGAGAGAGAGAGCGCCTTCATGTTCATCTCTGCCGGGGTCACTGAGCACAAGTTCAGAGGGAGGACAGCAAGATGACTTTTTTTATCTGATTCACTTCCATCAGTCATCCATATGTATGAATATATGAATATACCTCGACCTGATCCTCCAGAGGAAGAAAAACCAGGAGAGAGAGCAATTTAAAAAAGCAACGTGACGACTTATGAGAAGGTCTTTTTGGCTTTACAAAACATGATTTCATTTCTCTTAAAAATACTCTTCTAAGACCTCTAACCTTTCAAATGTTTGTGTGCATGCCCTTTCCCTTTCTCTGACATTTAGATAACAAATCATCCTTGAATAATTCAGGTTCAAGGGACATTTTAGGAACCAAATCCAATGATTTTGCAAGAAATTCTTCATCTAATATATTCTAAAAATATAAAAAAACAATAAAGAATGCATAGACTACATAAATGATGAATGCAGCCATTATGGCATCATAGATTGGTTTGCTGAATGCCTTTTTGAAGCCAAAAGATCAGTATTTTCTTCATCTCCATCTTTGTTTCTGAAGCCGGAAGTGACCATATTTGGACAAGAGGGCGGAGCTAGAGAAGAGTGAGGGATTTACAAATGCCAAAACAAAAAGTTAAACGCTAACAACAGTCCTGACTCCCATGGACAGGAACATAAATCAAATGACAAACAGGGAACAAACTAACAGTCCATGTGTATTATTAGTCTGATATTTACATGACCAAATCTCCAAAAGGCTCCAACAACACAAACACGGCCCAGAGGTTAAAGGTCAGGGACTGAATCAGCTGAGGTGACACCTAGCAGACAGCTAGCAGCTCCCATCTGTCACTCAAAGAGGCCACGCCCCCTAATTCTACATCCCTTAAAGCCTTAATATAATGTAAACAGGTGAGTTGTATAAACATTCAGCCCGTACAGATGAAGAGAGAAATGAGCTCTAGAGACCCAAACTGTTTTTGTACCAGACTGTAAACATGTTTATTTTAACATGGAGCTCTATGGAGACTGACTCACTGCAGGAGACAGACTCTAGTGGACACTGGAGGAACTGCAGCTGTTTTCACTGGCTGTATCTATTATCTCTTGAGCTGGCTGCTTGCTCCTCACTACAGAGCATCAATATTTAAATTTAAATATTGATGCTACGACGGATTATTTTTCTTACTTTTAAAAGTAAGAAAAATAATCCGTCGTACCCTTCCTCCATAACAACCTTGCTTCCAGGAATGTGTGTGTGTAGAAAAAACAAACTGAAGCTGACAGAAAGCACCACATATCTTAAAGGAAGAAACGTCCTCAGACTCTGTGTTTGTGTCGATTTCCAACCCAGGAGGAGTCTCCGTCTCTTTCACACTTTCACACCGACTCACTGAGAATGATAACAGGTAAGAAGTCTGCACACAAATAAAAACTCATATATGATATATTCAGTATTTTCACCTAGAGAGCGGCTCCCTGCAGCGACGGTAGATTTGAGAAATTGAGAAATTGCTTGTTCTCCATCATGCATAAACAAACTCCGAGGCAGAAGCAGCCAGACAATGCTGTTTAATCTTCCCCTCTGTTCCCCCTCTCTCTCTCTCTCTCTCCCTCTCTTTCTCTCTCTGTGTGTGCTGAAAAATTGAATGCCACTTGTTTTCCAGCCCATCTCCTGCCTGAAAAGGCTGCCAACCTCTGCACCCTGCCAACGCACGCCTCTCAGCCGCTCGCTAACCTTCGTTTGGCACACAGACAATAGAAAAATTGCTCGGCCCAGCCCCCCTGCCCTCGCCAATTCACCACTCAACGCTGCTGCCTCTGAATTCTGCCATAGTGGGGACGCAGCCAGTGAGCCGAGCCATTGTTATTTGTCTCTTCTGAAGTGGAGAGAGAGACACACACACACACACACACACACACACACACACACACACACACACAAATCATTCTCTGTGACAATCAAACATTTCTCTAAAAACGTCAAAGTCGGCCTCATCAATCACAAAGCGTTTCTTTAACGACAAACACGATTCATTACAAACAAACAGCTTTATGTTCAGACAACACGTCAGCTGTTAAACGTCTCTGTGATGTCAGCGCCCTGTTGCCCGTCGGCATGAACTCCTCGCCCGGGGGTTAATTGGTGGCAGCCGCTCGGCAGGGTGTGGGTGTGCTGCTCGGCTGATGGCCCGGTAATAAGACGGAGAGACAAACGGGCATGATCTGTCCTACAGTCGCTCAGTGCGTCCTGAGGGAGCGCTGACTGACAGCGCTGCTCTTTCTCCTCCAGGCGATACACACACAGACATGCAGACAGAGGAGGATTATATTTATAACTGCTGAATGAAGGAGCAGCTGTCGGCTCCTGCTGTTACCACCAGGTTCTGTTAGACGGCTGGCCTGCAGTCAGGATGTTTTCTGCTATCTTTTCTTCACTGTTATTTCACGTTAGCTCATGCAGTGGTCCGTCAGAAGTTTGTATATTATTTATCTTTGCACTTTAAGATCATTCCCTGCTTGTCTAGTGAAACCCATGGGGAAGTTAATCAGAACGGTATTGGGCAGACAATCTTCAGCAAAGGCCAGATTTGGTAGTGGTTCTAAAGATCTTCCCCATGTACAGAAGCTTAGAGGCCCTGACACACCAAACAGATTGGCGGTCCTAGTTGGACTGTTAGTGAGCGGTCGTCGCACTAGTTTTTGCGGTGTGTCCTGCTCCGTCGGGCCCCGTCTGCATTTTGTGGCCGATTCGACATGTTGAATCAGGTCTGTGAGAGGAATCTCTCTGATTGGCTGTTGGGAGGTTTCATTTCTCTCCAGCTCTCCTCACAGGTTCAGTAAAGCCCCTTGAGCATGTCGCTGTAGTATCCACGCTTTCACCCATTAGTGCGGTTTCTCCTTGTTTGTCTCCGCCGCCTCTTCTTTTCTTTTTCCACTAAAAGACCAAGAGCTGACAACACCAGCGCCATTTTCAACTTTTTATCAGACATTATTCTCCATTAGTAGACGACCTATAATACAAGTGGTGAGCGACAGCGGTGTGAAAATGGTCTTCTCGTATCATAACAACAGACTACCTCCACCTGCTGGCAAGGAGAGTTATTTCCTCTCACACATGAGCAGAACGTACGTGGTGGTTGGCCGTCGGCTGTACTCTTTGTGGTGTGTTCAAGTGCAACCTTTTGGCCAAGACGTGAGGCGGCGCCACAGGCGGCCTTCGTCGCAACGAGTTCTTTGCCGTCTGCTTGGTGTGTCAGGACCTTAAGTCCTCAAGAGCAGGCAGCAAGGGTTTGCTTCCTTACTTTATGTGGCTCGTCTCACTCACTCTCTCTCTCTCTCTCTCTCCCTGGTTTCCGACACTATCCACTGCCCTATCTCTAAAAGAATAAAGGCATTAAAAGCCCAAAAATTGATTCTAAAAAAAAAAGGAGCACGCAAGCACTCTGTGGATTGTAACATGGACAAAACGATAGCAAATTTGGAAGCGAGCTGACTGAAGAAGGATAAACAACAAACACTGCAAATCAGTGTTCACTAACGTCCAGCTCGCTCTCTAACCTTTATATGCCATGTTCACAATGTCTCTTGATGTTTTTATTCTTCCTGAACTGTCAGTGAAAAAAAAGCTATCACAGATTC